TTTAAACACTATGACATCATGAATTTGAGTTTTAGCATTGTAGTATTTGAATTTGTAAGAGAGTTGTTCTTGTAGTTAAATCTTTTGGACTGTTTCAGATCTTATGAATGACATGTATGAATTTTGTAAATGGGTATAGTTCCTCTTTAAAGGGAATATGCAGGTTATTGTTCAAATAACTATAAGAGAGAAAAAGAAATAATAATACAGCAGGTTTAAACAAACACACAAAAAGAGAGAGAAAGAAATCATTGGTTGGTGTGGTTTACTAAGGGAGGGATCAAGTATGTCTTTTTTTTTTAAAATAAAATTATGAAGTTGTTGCATTCAGTTTGTTTAATCTGGCTATATTTACATGCTGTGTCAATACTGCCTTTACTGTAAACACTGTGTGTGGTCTGGCTGCTTAAATGAAACATAAATTGAACTGAATAAAAATCTTGCTGACATCATATAATTGATTTGAATCATTCAGAAAATGAGCTTTGAAGATTTGCTTGATGCAAATGATCTGACTATATCAACTCGGCATGTGTACGGATCAACTCACCGGAAGAAAATGCACAGATGGTCAAATTAAGTACCATTATGCATTATGGCTGAAGATTTTTATCAATCAAATAAAGAACTTTAAAAATTCTACAACATAATTTGGATGACAGCGTTGGTAAGAATTAACCTTTATTCAGCCCAGTACAAAATCTGCCTCAAAGGTATTGAAGGTTTTTTCTCTGAAGGGTACTTAGGTGGAAAGCGTTCAGAGGGACAGGGAAAAAGAAGCATTGAAGAAGAAAATAAAAGCCTACAAAAATATGTGTGGATTGTTTCCAAATAAACTTGTTTGTGGTTTACTGCATGACTGTTGATAGCCAATCACAGGCTGACACTGTGTTATTCACTCAGCAGAGTGTCTACTGGACAATAAAAAAAGGTCTTGATGAAATGTGGTTGTTGTGTCACTTTTTACGCAGTGAGCCCTGTGGTGAGCATGTTGACCAATGAAAGGCTCTTTTAGTATAATAAGCTGTCATTCTCTCAGATAGTATGTAACCATCTCAATTCAAACGATGTTCAGACTGTGAAGGCCTTTGAGTATACTAAAAGGTTGTAGACTCAGCAGGTTTGAAACCTTTAAGAACTGACTCTTTGACCACTTGGGGACAGCAGATATCAGACTGTGTGAAAACTCACATATTATAAAGTTCAGATGGTACACTGATATATCAGAGGAGCTTTAAGAGTGACAAAAGAAAATGGAGAAAGTACAAAATGTGTTTTGCTTTTAGTTAAACATCACTACCACAGCTTTTAACATCTTTTTCACAAAACCAGCTACAGAAAATGGTTTCATAACTTGTATTAACGGTTCTACAGCTTTGCACATAATTAGTAAAAGAGTATGCATTTAAATTCCCCTCATAACAGGTAAGGCCCATTACAAATGCCATGAGAGACAGTGGTACATAATGAACAGTTCACACTTTAAATTATGGGGTTGTAGAAAGCTTTGGAAATGACTTGTAAACATATGCAGATCATTTGTAACAGGTATGGCAGATCTACCAATGATGTGTCACACATTTACATGTGATGAATTGTTTAAACTCTATAAATGAATCAGCCGTACTTTCACTCATCATTTAGAACAGATGAGGAACACTCATGAAATAGTTATGATTGCAAATTGCCCATTTTTAGTCTGCACTGCAGTGCTTGCAATTGCCTCTGTAGGCTTTGGGAGGCTGTTTTGGACTAATAAATTCTTGTATGTGTTAAATATCAGTGGATCTCCTGTAACATACTTGCCGGTTTTATAAGCAAGCAAGGGGGAAAATCAATCAATCAATTTTATTTATAAAGCCCAATATCACAAATAACAATTTGCCTCAGATGGCTTTACAGCATACGACATCCCTCTGTCCTTTGGACCCTCACAGCGGATAAGGAAAAAAGGAAAAAGAGCTCTATTATTTTCACTTTTAATTTTGTTGTTGCTAATTTAAAACATTAATGCAGAATATCAAGAGATAGAGCTGTCCTCTGTAAACAAAGAAAGAAAGAATCATTCTTTATAAAATCAAAATCAAATCATTATAGAGTCTAGTACGGAGCAGGGATGATTCTAGGATCAGAGGTTTAGGGGTGCTGAGCACCCAGAGAGCTGCCCGGCCAAGCAAGATAAATTTCACTGTTTTGTACATTTTAACACAATTTCATTCCCACATTTGTGAAAGAAAAGCACAACACTTTTTGGGAAAGTCTGTGACTAAACCATCAAATCTGATAAAGGTTATTTAAATGCTGAGCCACAGCAAAAGAGGAATGGATTGGAATCATCAAAGAAACATATCGTAACCCTAATTTCAGGGAGTAAACCAGCCCCCGAGAGTGAGTACCAAAAATACCAAAAATGGACCTTGGACTTATTTTTTGGACTTTTATTTGAAATGCAATGCACAACATGTAACATTAACACATTAACAGTAATTGACTTTTTCAATGTTTATCTCTGCCTTTTTCCTTCTTGTCTGTAATATATATATACACATGATGAGGCTGTCTGTCTGTCTGTACACACACGCACACGCACACACACACACGGAGTTATAATGTTAATGGGCATCCAGTCAGTTAGCTAGTCAGTAGCACCTTGGCTTTAATATTAACACATGTACATGACACAACAGCTAGCTTCTCTCATTCCAATTCAAACAGAGGACAATAGTACTGACCACCTGTAACGTTTCCTAGCTAGAAAAAACGTCAGCTAACTCCGACCTAACAACATAAACAGTGACCTACGATTAAATGCAGCAAAAATGAGGACTGGTAATGATGATAACGTGTTGTATTGAGTGGTAGAAGTTAAGAAATGTGCCACTTATCCTGGTTTCAGCCAGGTACTTACACCACTACTGCATATCAGCCACTCTGAAAGGCAGCGCATTGCTCTGTGCAGATAGAGCGCTCAGAGCCCGAGTCGGGAAAGGTGGGAGGGATGGGGTGGATCAAACCATTTTTGAGGCAAGGGGGGGTGCTGCTGTATTTTTGTTGTTAAAATATTACGTTTCAACCAAGTACTGTATGGTTTTGACACTTTTCTAGCTTGTTAAAAAAGGACATACAGTAAAAAAAAATTTTAGGGGTGCTGGGATTCAATTTAGGGGTGCTTCAGCACCCCCAAAAATGGGCTAGAAACACCTATGCTACTCAACATAAAGTATTCCTACATAAGCATACATATATAATACCATTGTCTGTCATTGGCATTGCATGATTTGTGAGAGCTTTTCTTTGCCCCTCCACTCCTTTAAATCTCCCAGACAGCTATGACAACAGCAGGAGGAGGAGGAGAGTCTGAAATCCAATCTGCAGCAGCAACGCAAATAACAGAAATATTTGGGGAAAGGTTCAGAGGCCCTGAATCATCACCCTGACACTACTTAGTACTGCACTATCGGAGCACTTGGTTATTTAACAGTAAGGTCACTCCAAAAAGGACAAATTGATCCAGTCGCAAGCTTTTGGTTTTAATTAAAAACTACCATCAGGAGCAGTTTGAATTAAAACTGAAAGCTTGAGACTGAATCAATGCCTCTGTTTTTTTTTCGGACTAACCTCTTCTTATATGTGTTATGGATCAGTGTTTACTCAATGCTTTCTAAATATGGACTATTGTAGTAGCTGTAGCTACCAGAGTTACACTACAGCAGTATGTACTTGGCAGTGTTTGAGTAGTGTGACCTTTTAGCCTCGTCCTTGTTTTCCTCTAAGTCACAAGGTTTCTGGGAAGTAGAGCTCTCTTACTTTCACTTTCAGTTGATATTACTGATTTAGCTGTCTTACTTTCCCTTTCTCGTTTGTCATCACTGATTTACGAGTACACATGCAGAGTTTCTCAGCTGCTTAAACCTATCACACCATATCAGATTTATTAAGAGCGGGGGGAGGGGTTTGTGAGGGGCAGAGGTGAAGTGTGGAGACAGTGGTAATGATGGTGCTGGTGGGGTGAAGAGTGATGGCTAAAGATAAAGACTGATGTGATGTGGGGCAAGACATCTGATGAGTTCAGTGGAAGGACCCATGGGTGCTGGTTGTGATGAAACCTGGAGGTGAAAGGGGTGGAGGAGGGTTTCGTCGATCTGACAAGGAAACGACAGCTGACAGCAGCAGAGAAATAAACAGTTTTAAAGTTTGACAGCAACTCACAGAGGTTGTGGCAAAATCTGATAGGTTCAAGTGAACGAGTGAACGCCCTCAGTTAACTCATTGATTTGGAAGCAGGAAAGGGAAGATTGAGAAAGAATGTAAATAAATAGAGGAAGCATGAAATTAGGACTTCCGCTGCTAAGCTTTCTTTCAGTACTGCAGGATTTTCTCATTCATGTCTTTGCTGCTCTGACTTGAGCTCACTCTCATACACAGACAAATTTGTCTTTCTGTACTTGCCAGGGTCAGTGTTGGGCAATTACTTTCAAAATGTAATGCATTACATATTACAAGTTGCCTTCATTTGAAAGTAATAAGTTAGTGACTTGATATCATGAAGGCCTATCTCCTTTTCTTGGACTAACCTCTTCTTAGATGTGTTAAATATTAGTGGATCTCCTAGTAGATACTTAATGCTTTGTAAATAAACATAAACTCTTGTAGCTGCTGTTGCTTTGCAAGTAACAAATGTTCAGTGTTGACAGCAGTATGTACTTGGCAGTGTTTGAGTATCATGACCTTTTAGCCTCATCATTATTTTCCTCTAGATCATGAGATTTCTGGGAAAAAGAGCTCTCTTCCTTTCACTTTTAGTTCTGTTATTACTGATTTAGCTGTCGTCCCTTCACTTTCCCTTTTGTCATCACTGATTTACAAGTAATGTGCCTGCAGAGCTTCTCAGCTCCTTAAACCTATCACATCACATCAGATTTGTTAAGAGCAGGTGGGAGGGGTTTGTGAGGGGCAGACCTAAAAAGCTCCAGGCTTCTGATCTCTCTATGTAGGGTGGGGACAAAAAGGATTTCTGACAAGACAGCCATATGTACTCAGACCAGGCAGAGCTAAAGAGACGCAGGACAAGTGGTGAGTTTTAATTTTACTTGAACTTCACTTTGATGTTGTGAATTGTCTCTATAAGTTTTTCCTGCTCTGACTTGAGGGGCAGACAATTTTTCTTTTGACACACACACACACACACACACACACACCTTTCTTTGTATGCTTATGAGGACCCTCATTGACCTAGTGCATTCTCTAGCACCTAACCCTAACCATTACCACTATGGGCCATTTTAAACATTTTCCATGTTTGCACAACATGAAATTACATAAAAACACAAATTTATACAATCTTCTCTTGTATTTTATGCAACAACAAAAAACCAAATGTACTGTGCATGTTTCAAATGGAAGCATGATTTTGCTTGGTTCATCCTGAATAACACAGTAAAATTGCAATGTCTGCAACATTTCACCTGCGGTAAAATCATGAGGATGTTCCCCAAATTGTATCATGTGTAAGATGTAGTGCTTTTGTTTATCTTATCATATAATTTGCGTTATCAGCTTGAGAGGTAATGTGTTTTTGCAGTGATCATTCATTGCTGTATTTGTGTGAATAGCTTTGTCATACAGCTTGACTCCGAAAAGACGAAGAGCAGATAAGATGGAGGAAGACAACGATGATAACACAACAGCTGGAGGAGGAGAGCTTGAAATCAAGTCTGTACCATCTGCAGCCAATGAGAAAGGTAATATATTTACACAAGAAATGATTCTATTATAACATTACATTTATATGTCAGTTGAGGTTCAAACACTTAAGAATTTTTAAAGGGACAGGTCCCCCCCTATTATGAACACATATTGTTGTTCTTATCTGTAGTGCTATAAATCAAAATAGTTGTGGTGTGAGTTGCAGAGATATCAGCTGTAGAGATGTCTACCTTCTCTCCAACATAATGGAACTCGATGGCAAACTCAACAGCAATGTCTCTTTCCAGCAGCCAGGACCTGGTCTGCAAACTGAATCACTGTGCAGAGGGAAGCGTGCATCTACTGCTAGCTCACTCAGCTCCACTGAGCTAGCTAATGTAACAGCTCAGCTGCCAATAATGTTAACATCTCGCACTGTCATCAGCGCGAGCCTCTTTCACTTCCATCTGTGCAGTGATACTGTTGGCGGGTGGAGTTTGGGCAAAAGAAAATAGTTCCTACATGAAACTATGGATTATCTTGACTACCTGGGTCATGATTTCTGGAAAAGGTATTGCTGTTTTTCTTTTTTTTTCACTCAAGCTAAGTGCCATCTTGTTCCATTGTATTGGAGAGAGGACAGACAACTCAACAGCCAATATCACCAACACTCAGTAACTCACACCAAAACAATCTAGATTGATAAATAGCACAATAGGCAGTGTTGGGATGGATACTTTTGAAATGTATTAGGTGTCAAATTTCTCATTACCCTGTTTAAAATGTAATAAGTAATGTAGCTATTTTTATAATTGCTTCATTAAAGTAATGTAACTTACAAAATTTGTTAACTTTTCTAAGAAATGTTTTAAAGTTAGTAAAATCAAGTGCAAAGTTGCACTGAAATTTGTCCCAACATCTTTGCTGACCGTTGTCACCCAGACATAGGCCAAAAGAAGGCATTCCTACACAGCAAAAAGATGAAAAGCAACAGAATTAATAATATTAGCTTTCTACTAATAATATATAAAGACACTATTAGATGTAAGTAGTTACTGTACTCTGCAACAATAATTATAGGTCCAAAACCAAACAATTTTTTATGCTGATTCCATGCATTCTGCTTTTTCCTTCATGCCCCTGCAGTCTATGAGACGGATGAGGGTGCAGCCAAAGCCCAGGTACATTTACAACTGCATTTATTTATTTTTAACATTACCCTTTTTTCTGAAGTTGTGTCACAGTTTTGGCATTAAGTTGTGAATTTCTTTATACAATTCGAAATCGATGGTAAAACACACATCCACAATCATGACCCTCCAGGTCTGATATTAAATGACTAAGCTGAGAACCCTTTTAGAGTGTTTTTTCCCTTTTCACTTTAACACAATCTGACTTGCATTTGCTAGTGTATATTATTTTGATTCACTCTTAATTTATATGTTATAGTACTATTGTAACACTGTATTTTATTCATATTAGACTTTCATATTTATCTTGATTCTGTTTTCTTGATTTTGGGTTCCCAGTTAAAAAGAAAACATCATAATCTCAGTGATTCTAACTTGGAGAAGTAATTGTTGAATAAAATCACATATTTTCTCAGTGTGATCCAGTGAATGAACCTGGTGAAGCTCAACACTCAGAGAAGAATGATGAAAGCACAGGAAGACAGTCTGAAATCGAGTCTGTTCAATTTGCAACCGATGAGAAAGGTAATATTTTAAACAGGCATTGATTGTGCTGTTCATTCATTAAAGTTGTAGATTTTATTTCAGGTAAGTTCAGAACACAATGACAAATTGTTAAAATCCAACTAATCGTGTGAATGTAAAAATTAGTTTATAACCTTGATTCCTCATCGCATCTCTGTCAACACTGTAAAACTTTGACAATGCTGGTTCAGTGATAACTGCATTGTTGTATAATGATGTTATTCTCTGTTTATCTTTGTTTCAGTGATACCTGAACTCACACTGGTGTTAATTGGTGATACAAATACCATTGAGATTGGATCAAAAAACATCTTACTTGACCATGACGAGCAAACAAATGTGGAAGAGTTTTCAACCAAACTGTATGATCTGTGTGGTCGGCACATTTCTGTCATTAACATGCTTGGCCAACCAGACATTGACAAATTCCCATTAAATCAGGGAATTCACGCCTTTCTCTTAATGTTATCAAATGGTCTGCATACAAGCCATTACAGTTCAGGAGTGCAGTGGTTAGAAAAGGCTTTTGGGAAACGATCACTTGCTTATTTAATCACAGTTGTGACTCACGAGTCAGACGAAAAATGTGAACGTGCATTGAAAGATCTGAAAGCCAACAGCAGTTTTGTAGAAAAAAGATACCACACATGTACAAGAAGTATGACAGATGTAAAAGAGATAATAGCTCTGCTGGAAAAAATAGACATCATGGTCTCTGAAAATGAGTACCACTGCTACAGTGGTCTGTGTGATGAAGATAAAGACCAGAACGAACCCCTGGACCACAAATCCCAAACAAAAGGAAGGATCAACACCTCTGTGTTTCAGCAAAATCAAATAGGTGAGATTTTAATGTTGGCATTCAGTGCTTCATAAAGTGGACAAACGTTGAAGCAGTTAGAATCAGTATTTTGCAACAACAATGTAATGTCAACGTAAAAACAATTTTGCAGTGTAAACAGGGGTTTCTCGTAGTGGTGAACCTACAAAGAATTATCACGGTTAGAGGAATTATTTACGGAGCTTTATGGTGAGTTTCAGGTCATAGTTTAGCTGTCTGGTCTGTAAAATTACAGTTTTGTTCTGGTTTCCCTGCTTGTTCAGCAAAAGAGTTCTAAAAACCCACTGTATACCACCTATTCATCACCAAACAGCAGACAGACATATTTAGTGACTAGCTGGTACACTTCATGGAGCATTTAGAAGTTGTAGAGACAAATATTTGCCCCTGGAGCTGGCAGAGACCAAAATATAGCTATATAAGTCAGTATTGTGTTCACAACTTGTTTCCACTGCCCCCAAGTGGCCAAATAAATCAATTATTGCAGGTCTAAATAACTGATAAGTCAAAGTTGTAGCTGTAGCCTTTAACTTAGTCAAAAGTGTATCCTCAAAAACTTACAATCAGCCAGTAAGTGGTGGAAAGTTTATTTGCTCAATTTCTGTTCTTGAGTCAAATTTTGAGGTACGTGTACTCTACTTGAGTATTTCAATCTGATGAAGTTAGAGAAGTCAACAATGAAAGCAGCAGTAACATGAGTGAGCAGTCCACGGAGAAGAGTGACATAGTAATGAACTTTTGTCTGGAACGGTTACCTGGAATGGTAAACTCACCAAAGCTCTTTCTTTTTTGTTGAATGTGCAATCTGCTTGTTGTGACATTATGCTGCTACAGACGAGGAAGAGACTGCAGCTAACACAGAGATAAAGGTGAGATCTTTGAACTTCAGTGGTTATTGAGAAATACAAGCACATCTTTATTAAATGCTACCTGTAGTTTCTGAAATTATGTCAACTTTTCAGCACTAACACCTGAACCTTTAGCTGAAGATCAGAGCTTTTTGCCTTTTTAGTGTAGACTGAGTTTGATCCAATCAAGCTCCTGGTTTGAAAATGGATAAGTTGAAAACACACAAAAATACACACAAAAATACAAAGCTCTTGCATTGGGTTGCTCTGGGGTTGTACTCTGTATTGGTATACCACTATGCGTTATTGACCTTCACATTCTTCATCTCAATGGTTATGACCAGATAAGCTAAAGGTTTTCTAAAATCACCTGTTTTCTTAGTGTGATCCAGTGAGTGGTGCTAAACACTCAGACAATGACGATGACAGCACAAGAGTGGGAAGAGACTCTGAAATCACTTCTGTAATACCATCTACAAACAACGAGAAAGGTGCATTTTAATGAAAACTTTCATTGTATGGCAACATAGATTTCAACTGTAAAATGATATTTCAATTTTATTGGTATAAATAAAGTAGGGAACTTATTAATTTGTAATATTTTTTGGCTTTGACACTTCAACAGGAGAGACTGATGAAGTTAAAGAGGTCAACAATGAAAGCAGCAGTAACATGACTGAGCGGTCTATGGAGGAGAGTGATGCAGTGAAGGACACAAGTCCATCATCTCAGACTGTTTCAGCAGAGACCAAAGAAGGTAAGACTTACTGAACTTTCTTTCTTTTCTTATTTCATTTTTGCAAAATCTGCTTAATTATGATTAAAATAAAACATATGCATATTTAGTGTAGAGGAGATACATCATGTTAAACGATACACTTTTTGAATATTCAAACAAGCTTAGCAAATAAATCTTATTAACCTGGAATGGTCAAATGACCAAAACAATTTCTTTTATGTTTGATCATGCAATCTGCTTGTTGTCACATTATCTTGCAGTAGACCAGTGGGAGGAGAGTGCAGCTAAAACAGAGGTAAAGGTGAGATTTTTTTCAGTCCTCAGTAGTAATTGCCATACATCAGTGTCTCTTTTTTTAATGTTACCTTTTTTCTGGGTTTTCTGGAGACCTTTTACATTTAGATAAGAGTTTGAATCCATGAACCTCCTGTTTGGACACATAGATGAGTTGAAATGCTTACAGAAAAGTTTACTTTCTTCTCACTAAATATAAACCTGCTTGAGTTTAGCTGTGCTTGTTCTCAATGNGCAAGCTGCAGCCGCGAGGACAGGGAAAGCGCAGGCAGCCACTTGAAGGAGTGATTTGCACGTTGCAGTGCAGCCTCTTGTTCTGACTGTTCAAAACTGTTCTACAAACTTTTATTTTTTTATTGAGTTTAAAGGACAAGTGCACTCACATTGATCACTTCCATAAAATAAAACGAGAAATTGGAAAAGGAAAAGATTGAAAAAATTGTTAAAATTAAATTTGGGAACTGATCACAGATGTATTGTCTCTGTGCTTTTGCATCTTTTGTTGCTTTAATTTGCAGCTATGCTTTTAATGAAGCTGACATGTCATAACAGTCAAGCACCCCCCCGGTCCCGAATTACACCCATTCTCATGTGGTCCTCCGAACATTGTCTCTATAACTGTCCTGCCATCGAGGCTGGTGGATAAGGTAGATCGTGCCTTTGCAAAGCTCTGAAATAGCCTTCCACTCTCAATCAAATGCTCCCTCTCCATTGACACTTTTAAGACAAATCTGAAAACATACATGTTGTCAATGGCCTTTGGTTGTCTGTCATGATTTTAATATTCTATAATCTTTCACATTTGTAATTGTTCTTACCAGTTTTATTCTGTTGCATCTTTGTGTGCATTTTATATTGCTATGTATTTGTGTGTCATTCTTTTATTTTGTACAGCACTTTGGTCAACTGTAGTTGTTTATAAATGTGCTATATAAATAAACTTGATTTGATTTTTGATTTGATTTGAACCTCCTGGTTGGACACTTGGATGAATTGGTAACACTTTTGCAGAGAAGTTTAATATCTACTCACTAAAACACAAACATGTTTGCATCTAGTTGTGTATATTATCTACCCTTACTTTTTTTTGGTTTTGTTGTACTCTGAATTGGACTACCACAGTGTGTGGTTGACCTTCACATTCTTCATCTCAATGGTTCATGACCAGGTAAGCCAAAGGTTTTCTAAAATCACCTATTTTCTTAGTGTGATCCACTGAGTGGTGCTAAACAATCAGACAAGGACGATGACAGCACAAGAGTGGGAGGAGAATCTGAAATCACTCCTGTAATACCATCTACAAACAACGAGAAAGGTGCATTTTAATGAAAACTTTCATTGTATGGCAACATAGATTTCAACTGTAAAATGATATTTCAATTTTATTGGTATAAATAACATAGGGAAATTATTAATTTGTAATATTTTTTGGCTTCGACCCTTCAACAGGAGAGACTGATGAAGTTAAAGAGGTCAACAGTGAAAGCAGCAGTAACATGACTGAGCGGTCTATGAAGGAGAGTGATGCAGTGAAGGACACAAGTCCATCATCTCAGACTGTTTCAGCAGAGACCAAAGAAGGTAGGACTTACTGAATGTTCTTTCTTTTCTTATTTCATTTTTGCAAAATCTGCTTAATTATGATCAAATAACAATATGTATATTTGGTGTAGAGGACATACATCATTTTAAGAGTGCACTTTTCAAAGATGCAAACAAACTTTGCAAATAAATCTTATTATCTGGAATGGTCAAATGACCGAAACAATTTCTTTTGTTTGATCATACAATCTGCTTTTTGTCATATTACTCTGCAGTAGCGGAGCAGGAGGAGAGTACAGCTAAAACAGAGGTAAAGGTGAGATTTTTTTTGGTCCTCAGTAGTAATTGCTATAAACCAGTGTTACTCTTTTAATACTACCTAGGTTAAGTTTAAGCTGGAGACCTTTTACGTTTCGATAAGAGTTTGAATCCATGAACCTCCTGTTTGGACACATAGATGAGTTGAAATGCTTGCAGAAAAGTTTACTTTCTTCTCACTAAAATATAAACCTGCTTGAGTTTAGCTGTGCTTGTTCTTATTTTCAGTGGTTTTCATTCGGTTAACTGATGTTTAATAAAATCACTTGTTTCCTCAGTGTGATCCAATGAAAGAACTTGGTGATGATAAACACTCAAAGAATCATGACCACGCATCAGTAGGAGAATGTGAACTCAAGCCTGTACGATCGGCAAACAGTGAGAAAGGTGACATTTTCATGAATTCTATCATGACATGCAAAGGTCAGAAATACAGCTCATTAAGTTTTAATATTCAATACAGATTAAAATTAGCATTTTATTTATATATATATG